TACCCGGAAGCCTGTCTTTTTGCATTAGGGGGGCAGGATGCCACCCTCTTGATGCCGCAAGGGCCTAGCTTGCATCACCTGTCTGCTCGTGGCGGAGATGCATACAAGGGCCCGCTTAGTGACCATTTGCAGGACTGGATCCACGCTGGGCCGGTCTATGGTGAGCAATGGTAGCATGATTTTCTGGCTGATTGGTGAATGAAATTGGAGAATCCGTGCTCGCAGCTGTGCGGACTCTAGGTTTCACTCGTCAACCTTGCGACGTGCATGATGCAAATCGTCGGTGTGGCCATGTTTGCAAGTGACATGCAGCACTTTCAGGCCACACCAGTTCTCGGTTAGCCTGCTTGTCCAGCTAGCTCCAGCTAGCTGCTTAAAAAATCTGCATCATTTGTTGTCGTGAGCCGCCCGCACACGCAGGTGCCGCAGGAGTACAGAAGTCGCTGCTGAGTAGCAGGTGCAGCGGCAGCGATGAAGGGCGCTGAGTCTGACAGTGTGTCACACCGACAGCCGCGCCAAAACTAGCAAACTGAAACATCAAATCTGAGAATACAGATTTTGAGTAGGGTTGGAAACACAAGATAGAACTGTTCACGTTGTGAAACTCATCCGCCCGATGGATCCAATCTTTTCCGTAGTGACCCGTCTTGACTCGTAGTGACCAGTAGTGACCCGTACGGCGTAGTGATTACTGCTGCTACTGCGGCTGCTACAGCCTGCTACGCTCCGCTGCTCCGCCCCATCCCGCCCTACGACGCTGCTGCTCCGCACCCACCCTGCTGCCCTGCCGCTCCTGCTCCGCACTCCGTCCTGCCCTGCCGGGCCACTGCGCTGCCCCGCCTAATCATTGGTAATTGAGTCATTGTTGAATCAGTCATTCATGACCATTCTTTTGTTGCGACCACGTTGTGACCAGTGACCGCGTTGTGACCGCGTTGTGACCGTGTTGTGACCGCGTTGTGACTGTGTTGTAAGGGTGTTGTGACCCTGTTGTGACCACGTTACCGCGTTGTGACCGCGTTGTGACCGCGTTGTGACCGTGTTTTGACCGCGTTGTGACCGTGTTGTAAGGGTGTTGTGACCGTGTTGCGACCACGTTGTGACCGCATTGTGGCCGCTTGTGATCGTGTGACCGTGTTGTGACCAGGTTGTGACCGTGTTGTGGTGTTGTGACGCTGTAGTGCTGCAAAAAAGGGTGGCAGCATTTCGCGCAGATAGAGACTTGGTGAGAGACTCAGTCTTTGTGGAATCGTTTACGGTGAAGACTGCAGTCTTTGTGGAGTCTCTTGGAAGTCTACCTGCCTGCAACTTCTAATGCTGCTACTGCTGCTACTTCTGCTTCGAGCAAAGATTGCAACATTATTGAGTCATTGTTGGCTCATATTTGTCATTCTTGACTCATTATTGAATCAAACGAAATTCTTTTTCGTGCCATTTTTGCAGTAACGTATCCAATTCAACGCGGTCACAACGCGGTCACAACGCGGTCATAACGCGGTCACAACGCGGTCACAACGCGGTCACAACGCGGTGCTGCAAAAAGGGGCTGTAGTGACATTAGAATGACGTTGTAGTGACCATGCTGCAAAAGAGGCTGTAGTGACATTGTAGTGGCTTTTGGAATAAGTTACCATAAGCCCCCCGCTTATATATCCCAGTCTGCGATAGCACCCAACGCCAGCTACGCGGGGCAGTTGTAGAGACCTCTAACCTTCGCACTTGCCACTCGGTTGGTTGCAGACCGTCAAACCCCAGCCCGAATACCTTGGAGGCCCTAGAGGCCCTAGAGACGCTGGGAGCACCCGCAAAACTACGGGTGCTCCAGATCTTCGGGTGCCCCACTGCACGTTGTGCACGGGCGCGCCCCCCCTCTCTGGGCCTCGACCTCCATGCGATGCTCAAGACTCTGTTCTTGTCAAGCCCCGCAAGAAAGCCCCCAACCACCCACATCCTCTTGACGAAGCATCCTCAGCTCCTCTAAACCTAGCCGAAACGTGCTGCTGGCAAGTCTTCTCCAGAACCTGCTTCGGATCATGCGATCAGGGCTTATGTGGTCGCAGTTTAGGCCCGGGGAGTCCGGCGTTTCAAGTTGGGCAGGGGCGGTGCGGGCTTGAGCAGGCCTTTCCAGGATGGCCATTTTCACGTGACGGAGGAGGGCCCATGCTCCTGAGAGGTGTAGAAAAAATACAAAACGGGGGACCGTGGGAGTGCGCTTTTTGGCTTTTTTTCCTTACACGATACATGCTTTTCATACGAAAAAACGCAGAAAACTAGAAAAACTTTACCAAAACTCGGAAAACTAGAAAAGAATGCAAAAACTCGAAAAAACCAAAAAAACCAAAAAAACTAAAAAAACCAAAAAAACCAAAAAAAACAAAAAAAACAAAAAAACCAATTTCCAGGGACTCTTCCATCCAGGGCCCAATTTGCAGGAGTCCTGGAAAATTGGTTTTTTTGGTTTCTTTAGTTTTTTTGTTTTTTTTTGGTTTTTTTGGTTTTTTCGAGGAAAACTAGAAAAAATGCAAACACTCGAAAAAACTCGAAAACACCAAAAAAATCAATTTCCAGGGACTCTTCCATCCAGGGCCCAATTTGCAAGAGTCCTGGAAAATTGTTGTTTTTTTTTTTTTGTTTTTTCGTGTTTTTTGCCTTTTTTCTAGTTTTCTGAGTTTTTTACAAGTTTTCTGGACTCTTCCATCCAGGGCCCAATCTACAGGAGTCCTGGATTTTTGTTTTTTTTTTGTTGTTTTGTTTTTTTTGGTTTTTCGATTCTCCAGCGCGGGGCTTCCGGAAGTCTCCAGTAGAATGCCTCACGCGCGCCGCTTCCGGAAAAATGAAGGACAGCTACTGGGACAACCTGCCGATGATGGATTTCCCCCCCCCCCCACAAGCAAGACCACACGGTGCTCATATTTTGCGAAAGCTTTTGCTGACTAGTGTGTTTCAGTGAGACAGGTGTGATGAAAATCTGCGCTATGAAAAATCCACAATCACTATGTATAAAAATCAAAGCGACTTTATTGAAAAATCTTTGTATCATAGGGTGCCTACCGTTATGGCTTGATATTTGCTTTCCTTCATGCAGGGTTGGTTTAATAGTATGACTTCTAAGCTAGCTATTGTTCTAGCTGTTTCTTCTAATATAGATCTTTTATACTTGCCCATTTTTTGAGGTAATTTGCATTGTATGTCAAATCTAGCAGAGTTTGCCCATACGTAAATATCTTGTAATTTATCTTGTTCCCTTTACTAAGAGGAGCTTCTGTAAGAGTTCCAAGCGTGTTATTTGTTGGATTTTCTAGTATTTTGCTTTAAGCATTTTTAAACTCATCATTCAAGATATATAAATTTGTATGATAAGATGGGATAACAAATTCCCATCGACAAAAATGATGATTATTATTACTATATATACATATATATATATATTTAATATCTGAGTTTAAGGCTCTTTGTCCTATGGATTGATTTATAAGTTATTAGGAAATTGCTAATAGTGCAGTAGAGGGCTCTCTAGATTATTTGCCGCATCCAAAGTGCTGTGCAAACGTCTACTATAGGAATAGTCTTTCAAAATGATTCTTCAGTATCAATTCAAAGTTTAAGCACAATTTGTACTTGCTTTGTTATATGTATATGTCATAAAAAAAGTCCAGTCCATTCTAGCCTAGCTTCTATAGCTTCATTTTTTGGCTAGAGGTTTTGTGAGAAATCTATGCAGTAAAATTGCTGCCAGAATGATGTTTCGTGTTGTTAGAGGCGTTAAATAATATCGTTGACTCTTTATTATAGGCATGGTGTTTGTGAGTTTTATTGCCATTTCATCTATAGACATAGATTCACCTACATGTATCTTTGCCGACCTTCGTAAGTTTACATGCTTTTTGAGTTACAGGAATCATTCATTGGTCATTCCCATAGCTTTGTATATGCATCTCAGATAAACCGTTGTTTTATAGAGTTGCAGGTGTGAACTCTGTTTTAAAAGTCTGTTTTTTTGTGAACAAAACACGGTGTTCCGATGCAACGTGTTTCTTTGTGAAGTCTTTGAGTCACAAAAGCCATATTGATGCAACCCAGGTATTCGTCCACCAGTCACGTATTCAACCCCCCTCGAAAAAGCAATACTGAAGAGCTGCATTCACCCCATACCAATCAGCAAGACTAATAAAAAGTAACTATTCCCCTAATAACTCATTCACTTCCTGATAAACAAGACTTGGAACTTACACTCATCCCTCAATAAGCAAGACTTGATATCTATATTCACCATCCCGATATACAAGACTTGAAATCATAATAGCCACCCTCATAACGCATTCACCCCCAATAAGCAAGACTTGGAATCTATATTCACCAACTAATAGCAAGATTTGGAATCATGGTAATCTCAGTCTATTAGGTTCTATACATTCACTACTTGATAAGTAGACTTATAGAATTTATTAGGGTTGGGCGTTCTTATTTATATTAGTGAGTTGTGTAACATGGCAAACCTCATGAAACAAAAAAACACAAAAAAGTGCACTCCCACAGTCCCGCGGACTCAAAAAATACCAACCCAAACCCTAAGAGGCCAAGTGACGGTCGCCCTTGAGTTTTCGGTTCTTAAGTGCTGATGACGCCGCTTTCTGTCGCATGCCCCCATTTTCGGTTCACAAGATGTGCGAGCAAACATGACTGCACAGATTGTTATCTGTGTGCATGCTAGGCGCATCCGTTTTAGTTGAGTATGTTGCCTTTTTGACGTGGCAGTCAACCGTATGTTGTGCTACTTCGGCAGAAGATTGAAGTTGGACTGGCTAGGATGGTCAGATAACTTGCAGCATGATGTCTGTCGATCAATGGGATTGGAAAACATCGGCTCCCGAGTTTGTCCCAGGCTTGGGCCGGCGTTCCCCAACTCATTCCTTACCACATTGCTGTCGCTGCCGTGAGAACCCTTTCTTTCCGTATGCATGTGGACCTGCCATACCGCTGCAACAGGTGTTCTTCATGGAATGCCGGGTCCACTGGTGGGTGCTTGGGTTGCACCTCCGCCTGCCTCGCAACAAGAGAGTCTTGGAGCAAGCCCGGGCTCCTAGGCATCTCAGCAGTAGGGCAGCGACAGTTAACAGGTTCGATGAGAAGCTTCTTTGAGGTGATGTGCCCCGAACTCCCATGTGTGCAGCTCCTGGTGGGCCAGTGATGGGCTTCGTGGGCTGCCTCTCGGATTTTGGAGGTGCGCCAGCTTTGAAGAGCATTCCCCACTCTGGTGTCTGCAATCCCCTGAAATTGAATGTCAGTGGAGGTCCCTGCAACGGCCCGTGGCAGGCTGTGGGCCAGCCTTGCCAGGCCTGGGCAAAGGGCTCCAAAAGCACAAATCGTGGTCTTTGCTTTCGCGCAGTCTCCCAGGCACAAAGTGGAGCGATGTCCGGGCCTCTGAGTGTCTTTACACGTGACCGCGGGACTGGGTGTGTTGGCCTGTGTGTGCAAGCATATGTGTCAAAGCATGCGTATGTATGTCTGTGTCTGTGTCTGTGTCTCTGTCTCTGTCTCTGTCTCTGTCTCTGTCTGTGTTTGCGCCTGTGTCCGTGTGCAAGCGTGTTTTTCTTGCAAGCGTGTGAGCATGTGCAAACATGATGCGGAGGTCGGGCATGATGGGTCCAGGCTGGGTGGTGCTGTCACTCGCTGCATGCTTCATGCTTTTCTTTTGCTGTTGCATGTTTTGACTGCCCGAGAACTTTGAATACTCAAAACCTGTTTTGGAAAAGAGCCGAGACACGTTCTGGTAGGTCCTTGCCCCGTGCAGATGGAGGCCTTCGCCGAGATGCAGGAAGTTTAGCTCTCATTCGATCTTTTGGCAGTTCGGATATCAGCCGTACTCCAGCAACCAGCGCCACGAAGTGATGTGCTTCCCTCAGCCGGCATAAGCTGCGACATTGTGCGCCGTAGGAGCAGCCTGTGAGCAATTCAGAATTCAGTGCAAACACTAAGTGAGATGTCGTTCTTTTTTCAAGGCAGGATCCTGGCACCCACTTCAGTCCCCCTGAAGAGGCCCGTATCGTGCTGCCCGTTGTGGCACTTCGGCCTTCCGCGTTGCCTCTCACGCCCTTCATAGGGTCATAGTGAGTCATAGGGCCATAGGGCGTGAGCCAACTCGAAGATCGGCAGCGTTCGTGCACTTCGCAATCTATGTGTCATCACTGGCACGGGTTGACCATGCTTATTCTACTTATGAGCAACGCTCCGGATTGGGAGTGCTGAGCAGATGATGAGACGCACTGTCACTTGTACCCGCAGGACTTCTGTCTAGTCATCATCAATCTGTGCCTTTGCTTGGCACAACGGCATCTCGCGCAACTGGCAGCGCTATTGTGAGTAGGTCTGAGTCACGACACTCCTTGTCCACGGAAAGGCAAGTGTTCGCCTCTTTCAATAGTTCATCTTCGCCTGTCTCGTGAAGAATATCGACGCGCTGTTGACTCTAGTGAGCGTTCCTTTGAAATCAGTGTGCAACAAATCTGTGGAAGAACCTGAGCTCGAGGTGAATCCAGCCTCGTTTGTGGTCTTGTGTAGAATCCATCTGGCTCATCTTGACTACTCTGCCCTACATTTCCCGCCACATCCAGATCCTTTTGCAACAAAGCCCTTCATCCTCGTCCTCCACTACGTGGTGACATATGACAAACAGGCCTCAAGAGCACCTGCTTCGCCGACAGCCAGACAGTCCACCTCACTGCAATGGCGATCTCCCCCCCCATCCTTCAGCCGGCGACCTACAGATCGCTTGAAGCGGTAGAAATCGCATGAGAGCCACCGCCAATCCCAAGCTTCTTCTGAGCATAGGGGGTGGTTCAAGGACAAGCCGAGGTTCGTTCTCTCAGGAAAGCCGCAACAAATCCCGCTCCCAATGACGCAGGATGGCCTCCGCTCCGTCTGTTTCACCATGGCCCTCAACTGTACCTATCCGGACCTGTCACCGCGCCTCACAGCGCTCACAGCCTTGCGGTGCTTCTGGGGACTCCATGGCCCAGCGATGGCCACACTGATTGAATCGCACAAAGTGTCCTGGCTGTTAATCGTTTCTTGCTGGGTCATCGTGATCACATGATCCAAAGCGTCCTAAGCGATCACCTTGTGCTTTTGGGGCGGTCCTGCCCCCAGACAGGGAAAGGCGCGTGCCATGTTGGCGCATCATTCAGCGCCACCTGCAATTTTGCACTGTCCACCAACCCGGAAAATCGTGCATTGCCTGTTGTGGTGCCACTGATCTTCCTTACCGTTGTGCAATCAGGGTGCGAAATGGTTGCCACTTCCAGCGAGCGACGGCAGTGCCCAAAGATCCTGCACGGACTCGATCATATGCCACCCCTGTCAAAGCAGCTCCTAGGTCAACTGCTCCAATGTCAAGCATAGTGTCAGAGCCGTCACGAAGTTGAAGAGACGGCGGGTAACTCAAGCTTGGGTGCATTGAACGGAGCATCATGGTGGGCTGGTAGATGCTGGTAGGAGGAGATACCATGGGGTGGGGGGAGTGGGGTGGGGGCGCGAACGAGATCATATGTTTGTTGAAGCCATGTGTGGTGTCGTCAGGCCTGAGTGGTTCATAAGTGGTTCTATTGTGGACCTGAGCAGCCCTGTGCATGTTCTGCCTGGCACATCATCGTGGCTTTTGGAACGACCTGGTCATTGTGTCAGGACTACGCAGAACGTATCCGTGCCGCACAACTTCAAGCGCGCTATGAACAGCGGCTGAAGTCAAAGGCAAGTGGGCACCGCAGGTAAACTGTCATGTGCATGACCCGCCAAGTTTTGTGACAGCTGGATTGAATGGAGAACTAAACAACTCTGCAGGATCAGGAGCTCCAGTACCTTCAAGAACGATTGAATCGGCAGGAGGATGAGACTGCAAAGATGCAGGTGTCACCGTTGTCACCTCACGGTCTCTTCAGGGTCACCTTCACGGTCACCCCATGTTCAGCATGTGCTTCGGCCCCGCCAGGCCGAGTTTGAGCGCGATCGACAGGGCTTGCTGTACAACCTGAATCAGACTCTCTGCTTGTTCTTATCTGGCGTCATTTGAGTCATTTGGCCCCTGTTTAAGCGTGTGATGTGAATGATGTGAATGGCTTAGATGGCCAGGCTCTCGCATGTAGTGGCCACCGAACGAAAGGGGCAGACCCAGCCGGCACACTGAGACATGCCATGGAAAGGATCCTTCGAAGGTTTTTGTTTGGGTCACGATGGCATCTGCAGATCTCACTGTCAGGTGGGGAGACCGCTGGTCCAAGAAGAAAGATGTCGCCATCTCAGCATCCTCGGCCATCTGGAGAAGGATCGGGGAATGATCTCTCCTTTTTGATCTTGTTGGCGTAGTGGAACCTGCAATGGGGCATCCGGCATCTCAATCTTCTCCGTCCAACCGTGAGATTATTGGGCGCTCAGTGAGTCTGCTCTCTCTGAAAAGTGTGGAAACGCCGTGTTGTGAGTGAGACTGAGGCCTCGGGCGAGGCGCCAGCTAGCGCCAGCTAGCGATTGCGGCAGAGTTCGTGTGCGCGTGTTCGTGGAGCGATCTCGCGGCAGGGCCTGGGGGTCAAGACGGAGCGCGGCGAGCGCGAGCGCGGCCATCGTGAAGGCAGCTTAAAGGCTTAGCTTTGCTCCGTAGGGATCAGCCTTTCTTTCCGCCTTCTCTTTCTGTAGAGGGAACAGGAGGAAGGGAGGAAGGGAGGGCCCAGAAGGCCGACGAAGTACAGGGGGACGGGGGGAACCGGTGTGAGGGAACCATGAGAGCCAGGCTTGGCCGCGACCTCTTCGCGCACCCGCCTCGGAGCCCACAAGGAGCAGCAGAAGCCGGGAAAAAGAGGGAGCGACAAAAAGAGAGCATAGAGGCTAGCAACAGAGAGTGTTATTCAGTTCACACGCCGGTGTCAAGTTCACAGCGCACAAAAGAGGCCGCTTTTGAGAGCATTTTGAGAGCCAGTTTTCTTGAGCCAGGAGACCCGGGAGCCTGCAGGTCTGGGGTTTGCTCTCAGATGTCTTTCATTTCTCTTTCATTGATGCTCTTTTCCGAGAAACCAAGCATTCTGAGAGCGGGGGTCGTCTCTCACGTGTGTTCTCACGAAAAGGGGACCGGCGAGACCGAGACCGAGCCCAGGTTTGGAGGCGCGGCGATGCAGTTGGGAGCCGCTGATCCCCCTTCTTCTGCCCCTGAGCGCGAGCCACGCTCCCTGCACTGGTCTCACACACGCCGAAACCAGGGGGCCTCCACCTTCGCGGCCTTCCGGCACCTTGTGGAGCGGCGACCGCTTCGAGAAGTTTGCGCGGCAGACGCCCGGGGCCAAAGGGGAAGCGGGGAAAGTTTATAGGCCACCAAAGAAACGGGAAGACAAAGAGGGGAAGGAGGGCCCTATGAGGAGGGCCCTATGAGAGAAGCCGGGGCGATCTCCGAGGCCTGGGGCCTTCGAGCTGAGGGAGAAGGCGCAACACGAATGCTGCCTCGAATTGAGCATGCTCAGCTGCATGTTCTTTTCTCGGGCTCAGGCAGATAGTTCCGGGTGGACTTTAAGGCAAGCGCCTTTTGTTGTTGTGTGTTTGTTGGACGTTGCCCAATCTTGCGAGCAAGTAAGTAAGAGCTGATGCCAGAGCTGCAAACTCCGAAGACTCCGAAGGATGCGCTTCGAGGATTTAAGCCCGCCTCTGAACGATGAGGGCGTGCAGGCGCTTGTCCGCTTGCGCCGTAAACCTCGACCTCTGCCCTCACATTCCACCACGTGCGTTACGAGGTTTTCTGCAGGTGGCTGCACCAATCAATGCAGAGGAGACTCTCTCGTTTCTGGTGTGATGATGGTGCTTGATGGGCCAGACCTGTCACATAAAATGTGTCGTCAGGATTCGCGAGGATAAGGGTATCCGGTCCATGCGGACGGTTGATGCCGAGGTTGCGCTTCTCACACGGTTTGACCGAGAGACGGAGACCGAGAGACGGAGCGATCACTAGAAGATGCTGTGCATGTGGTGCTCTTTGCAGCCTTGCAGGGGTGAGACCAGGATGTTTGGGTTTAGGGTGGTGTGATGTGTGGCATGGTGTGGTGTGATTGTGGTGATGGTAATTGTACGTAAATTGTGTTTGTTCTCGCCATTCCAAACAATTGCAGCCGGTCAGGTATCCTTCGCGTGGAACTACATGGGTGACGAAGCAGTTGGACGTTTGCTTCAGGCAGAAGAACCTGGCAACATCACTCTTGTGTCTTTCTTGGTGTGCCGAGTGCAGAGTAAGTGCCGCCGGCGCGCCCTGGCACCCGAGTTATGGGAGGCTCTCCAACGCTCAGAGCTGCGGGTCTCCGCCCTGAACTTCAGTGGCAACTGCCTGGGGCCAGCTGGCACTTCGCATGTCTGCGACTTTGTTCAGGCGAGGATTGAGTTTTGAGTTGTGACGATGAGACGATGAAGTAAGATGATCTATTCACATCAAAATCTGAGTTAATTGTCAAGGTCTCTTCCATTTTCCGTTGCCGCATGCCAGGAGGCCAGCTTTGGAATTCGGGAGGTATCCTTGTCACACAACCTGCTCGACGAGGCCGTGTCGGCCCGGTGTCGGGAAGGGTGGGGCATGAGGCATGAGGCATTGTGCTTGTGCTTGTGCCGTGATGTGCTGTGAGGCTGTGGCGATGGAGCTGTTCGCCATCTTTGCTGACCACCCAAAGTACCCACTTCGACGGCATGGCAAGGCACAGGACAAACGTCGGGACACTTTCTTTGGCCTCTAGATTTCTCTAGATCAAGCCTGGCTCTTTCCCAACTTTTGTTCCTGTGGCGTGCTTTTGCTTTGCACCAGGCAGATCCTGTCAGACTTCTGCTGAGCAACAACGGCCTCCATACCTCGAAGCTCCTGTCGTAACCTCACGTTGTGCTGATGTTGGGGGCTGATGTTGGGTGCTGTTGGGTTCTGCTGGGTGCTGGCTGCCCAGGAAGAAGATGGGGACGCTCAGCGGGCTCTCCTTGCAGTCTTGTCGCGCCCGCTCTGCCAGGCGCTGGCAAACAGGGCAAACAGCAATTGAGAAGCACTTTGCAGCATTTGCATTCGCCAGCGAGCTGCTTTTGTCAAGGGAGTGGCTCGTGATCAAGAACGGCCTAGACCTGCTGAAGCTTCCTGAATTCGAGATGCAGGAGATGAAGCCCCCTATCAGCAAACCATTGGAGTCCATGGAGTTTGCGGATGTGAGAGGAGCAACTTCAAGATCTCGGTTCTGACGCCGAGAACCTTCCCGATCGGGCACCTGATCGGGCACCGGACCGGGCACCGGACCGGGCACCGGATCGGGCAGCGGATCGGGCAGTGGATCGGGCAGCGGACTGGTCGCCACTGGCACGCACTGGCATGCACCAGGCTAGGGGGGAAGAGTTTCATTTTGCCGCAGCACTCATCTTCGAAGCACCGGAAGCCAAGGAAGGAGCGAACCAAGCCCTTGGCTCGCTCAATTCTCAAGAACGGAGCAAGGCCCGGGAACATGCTCAGGAAAAGGTCACAAGACTTCGGGACTGCCACCTCAAATGGTTTTCCTCTCATTCTTTGTTTCATGGAGTCCTGTTTGCACACGAGTGAGTTTTGAAGACTCTTCGCTCCATGTCTTCGCAGCCGGTGGAGGTCGGAAGCTTTCCGAACGGTGCCCAGCCCCGAGGCGACGTGACGGAACGTGCCATGAGCTTTACCTTGCGGGCTTCTCTCTGATTAGCAAAGTCGGGAATGTGATTGTTTTTGGATGCGGATGCAACTCGACTGTCAACAGATTCTCAGC